ATGTGTGTAACTTCTTTATAATGTTGTTTACTATTTTTTTTCAGTCTGTATTGGCACGAGTATTTTTATACGAGGCTACAGCACGTATCATGGCCGGAGCAACACCAGTTAAGACTCAGATTTTACTGGATCGAAGTCTGCATCACAGAAATTCGCGTTCTTCAATTATATGTGGAAAGGACCGATCACAGGAGCAGAATAACAGTGAGAGGGAGCATGCGGTCGCGTTATGTCTGGCATGCAGGCATCTGCCGACATTGCTGTTAGCTTCGCCGGGTGAACGGGCTGGAATGCTTGCAGAAGCTGCCAAGACGCTCGAGCGAATAGGGGATAGGAAACGTCTTCAGGAATGCTATAAACTAATGCGACAGCTAGGCTCTGCAATTACTGTTAATTAATGCGTCACACACACACACACACACACACAAATTTATATATAATATTTTTATGTTTTCGAACTTATTGTCTGTAAGCGTTACATAATTAAGTTATATATACTCATTGAACTGTCGGCTTTAGATACACTTTTCGGTTTGATTTTTACAAATGATTATTTTTTTTGTTAAACTATTATTAAAATTTTTTTTTCTTATATTCATGATTACTGTCGCTCTTGGGTCAGAGTGTTGCACGTATTACTTACGTCTAGCAGCCCGTCAAGACGCGAACAAGGAAGAAATTATGAACACGAAAGAGATCGCGACATAACTGGAAAGAGTTGTCTAAATCCGATTGTACTAAACATTGTACTCATTATATATATAGGACATTTATGCAATATTTATTATTGTGTAATATTAAACACAATTTTTCGCGTTTAAGAAGCCGCATTATCGAAATTGCTCCACCTGATGATTAAGAGACTTTTGATCGCCAGTTCGGATCTGGCATTTATTCTGAAACTGTAGGTTTAACTGAGTCCACTGTTGACAGTGGATTGGAGCTTGTGTGAAATTTCTCTCTGGTTTGCTCCGTTGCTGTTCATTGCTCCATACGCATACAAGCTTAAAGAATTTCTTACTCCATTGAGATAGCTAAAATCTTAGCTAGTCTGGGTTACTGGCTTTTCTTCCTGCCGAAGTTTTTTATTTGTATGTGCTGATCGGGCTATCTTAAACTCGGGCGGACCCACGTGCTGAATTCTCTCTCTGAGATTGTTCTGGATCGTCTACTGAAATTGAAGATTTACATTAGACCTGTCCAAGTTAACCTCCGGAGCCAAAACGCAAAGCCATCGATGCAAAAAAAATCAATATGAATAAGATTTCAGGAACGTAAAATGTCGATATGTGTCTGAGTGATCACGCTTATCAACACTTTACAGTACCTAAAATCTTACATTGAATTTTTTGGCGTCAATGGCTTTGTGTTTTGGTTCTGGAGCTCAAATTGGACAGGCTTGATCTATATTAATAGAAGAATAGTGTTAATGTTATATATTATGAGTAATTTTATAGGCGAGTGTTTATTCGTTAGCGTTGAATAATTCATGATTCCTTCTTAATTTTCTTATCATATAAGTATTACTTATATACTAATTTAATTACCAAAGTTTGGTGATTAAATTATTATATAAGTTAATAAAAAAGTGTCTTAAATGTTCTATTTATTAATTTGTTCATAATTAGCTGTATATATTCTTGTTATTAAATTTATTTATTAATATCTTTTCTTTATATTTATTACAGAAGTTTCCTTTTCTGTCATTCTTGTGTTTGTATAATTGAGGTAAGTGTTGTTTGCTTTTATATGGAACCCAAGGTTAATCTTTCTACAGAGAAAAACTCTTATGCCCGTTTCCATCAATGTAGTTTAATTTCAATCTCAGTTCAACTTACTCTTCGTCTTTTTCTAATCTTTAGAACTAGAAAAAGACGAAGAGTTGAACCGAGTTTAATCTACATTGGTGAAAATGAGCATTAGAGCAATAGAGTCTTCTTTTGATTCGGGTTCTAGCGGGATATTGCCAATAATTTTCTGTAGCAAGTTAGAGAGGATGAATATGAGGTTCGTAAGCTCTGAGATAGAGAGAGTAAGGGGAATGGTGGGAGGATGAGAGAGTGGGAGGGGAAGGAAGATTGGTAATAGGAGTACCCGGGAAGTGGGGAGAGAGAAATCGGTCAGAGATCTCGGACAGAGAAAAAATTAACAAATCACATTTGAACAATTTGATCACATAACCATTGCGATTGGTCAATTCTTTCTTCATCCGAGGTTTCGGACCGATTTCTAGCATCGTGGACACAAGGCTTTAGAACTGCGCTCTATTTTTGGTCATTATTGAGTCGACACAGGTTAATATTGAGAACTTCCATCTTGTTAAACTAGGTAAACTTTTATTCAACAAAGTTGAAAATATTTTTTAATATTAGAAGATTCGATAAAAATCAGATTGGTATTAACTCAGATGCAATCTTCAATCGCTAGTGTGATACGGGCACATCATTGGTTTTTGACCAATGGCGTTGCTCGATTCGGAACCGTAATAGCCGCAGCACAGACTCTTGCATAACGCATAATGCATAGTGCTGTTAGGAATCAACCAATCGAAAGTTTTCTTTTTTATGGAATGGGAGGAAAGGAAAGATTCTGATTAGTTGATTCGCTTATGCACTATGCGTTATGCGTTATGCAAAAGTCTGTGTTGCGGCCTTAACAATCGAGCAACGCGATTGGTCGAAAATCTTACTATTACGGAAAGTGTGTGTAATCCGAAATGTTGATTCTACATAAATTACGTACACCGTGTCGCCTCTCTAGAATATCTTTTCTTCTGTGGAAACGGTAGACGTGAGTTGTCTATGTACGTTTGTTAACATTTTCAAATTATTCTTTAAAATTCAGGCCGAATCAGAATATTCTTCTTTTATGTACCGAAAATAAATATCTACTTTTGTTTGTTGTTATATGACCGCTTCTACTTCGGTTAGAGAATATGAAACTCTAGACTTCACTCTGTTGATTCTACTCGCGTTAAGCCACGTGCATTTTGCATATTACACGTCGCACGTAGAAATTTATCTATAATATTGTTTGTTACCGACAAATCACATTTTTTATTGCATAAATTATCATAGTCATGAAATATTATGTTATTTGTCATTAGATCCATACAAAAAGTTGTAGGAGTATTCGAGTTAGGTTAGATTCCTCTATGGTTCCTGCTTCAAACGAAGGTCGGTACAGCCACTCTTATATAGAATAAGCTCTGCAAACGACGTATGAGAATATTCAAATTGAGTAAAAATATTCTGTTTTAGCCTGAATTTACAATAATATTATAATTTATTTAATTGTATTCGAATTTTATATTTATATTTAATTGATGTGTGTTTTAAAGAAGTTTTAAGTCCTTCATATATTGTGATTTTGCTTCAGCGATTGCATATTTGTTCTTTTTTTTTTACAGTTTAACACATTACCATGACCAATTCAAAGGGTTATAGACGTGGCACGAGGGACTTGTTTTCCCGTAAGTTCCGTAAACATGGAACTATACCCCTATCTACGTACATGAAGACATATAAAGTCGGCGATATCGTGGACATCAAGGGAAATGGTGCTGTGCAAAAAGGTATGCCATACAAAGTCTATCACGGCAAGACTGGCCGTGTGTTCAACGTAACAGCACATGCTTTGGGAGTGATTGTGAACAAGAGAGTACGTGGACGTATCATTGCTAAGAGGATTAACGTGCGCATCGAGCACTTGAGCCATTCCAAGTGTAGAGATGATTTCCTTAAGCGCGTTAAGGAGAACGAGAGGGTCAGGAGGGAAGCAAAGAAGACAAATGTTCGCGTCCAACTCAAAAGGCAGCCTGCTGAACCTTCTAAAGCTCATATTGTGTCAGGACGTGAAGCGCCTATCTTGCTTGCACCTGTTCCATATGAATTTATTGCTTAAAATATTAAATAAACTAAAATTTTCAAAGTAAAGATTTGCGTTATTTTTAATACTGTCAAAAATTAACATCACTTTAAATAACATCAAATTAAATACACATATAAATGTAATTATTTAATTAAAATGAATTAAAGTTTATTCAATTACAGATTTTAATTTTATGATTTTAAATTGTACTAATCATAATATTACATAACATATTGATATCAGCGATTATCGTTAGTTTTTTCCTCAAGCATACTAGACCCAACATTAAGGTAAATGTACTAATTAATGGACAATTAATGAATATGATTCAATTCATTGAACAAAGAGATACAAATTTTTCAATATTAAACTTGTAATGGTATATGCGATTCTTTTAAATAGATTTGTTTATAAAAATCTAACAATGAATTTATTTAGAATCACATATTAAAAGCTTAATATTTGAAATGTTTTATCACTTTGTTCAACAATTGGTTCATGTCCACTAACTGGTACATTTATCTTACATAATATATTATCACGATTTAAGAATCAGAATAATTGAATAAGATTGTTTTTCTAAGAATATTATTGTGAACAAAGTGGTAATACTTTGTTTAGAGAAGCCAATTGGTTTTGATTTTGTGCTATAAATTTATGTTGCTGCTCCTAATACGGTAAATAAGCGAAATGCACAGTCTCATAACAATATTTTTATTCTCAGTCATATCTTTACATTTGTATAGAATCTGAACGTGCTAACGTTTCTTTTTATATCAATGGACACGTTTAAGTTATTGTAATAAAGTAAATTATTCATTCTCTTCAAAAGGCGGACTAGCTTTTAAACATAAATAAATATAAAGCATTCACCTAATACTTCCCAATTTTCTCGAACTGCTGGTTTATATATACAAACCAAAAATTCTATATAAAAATTTAGATAAATTATGTAACTACTTTTCGCTTTTCTTTTTATATTCTACGAGCCAAAACATTATCAAACATCGTATATCCATCATTCTCATAAATAATCTGACAAACCATTAGAACATTCAAAAATTCACATATACCGCGCACTTTGTTAAAATACGAAATTAGCGTATAGGAGTGCTTATCTTCAATTGCTATTCATATTAAACTTTAACTACAATCTCGCGATTGGTAGAACAGGATATAACCAGTTTCAGAGCTCTTCTGAATATCTGATGTGAGTCCATAAAAATCTTCTATAGTTGACGCATCAATTTTCTAAGGACATATACAAGATACTTATTAATATCCTTTCTAAATATTTATATAGGGCAAGGTATTAAAGCAGAAATATTTACGTCAACCATATCATCGTCGAAGAGCAACCAGAATCCATGACTTTTAACTATAGAAATGTAATGCCCTCGATTAGGCCCACTTCCACAATGTATCACAACTGCCACCAGATCATACAAACGATCTGGATTTACAGCATCATCACTCTACAATTAAATTACATAATTATATATTATATTTAAGCAGTAAAATAATTTATTGAAAACTTCAAAAATATTATCATTGAAATAATTAAAATTATTTAAAAAGAAATATATTATCTGAGGTTTATTGTGTTTTCATAAACAATATCTATGAGTACTAACAGTATTGAAAAGTCTGAGCTCCAATGGAAAAACTACTCTGTGAGATACTTTTATGTGACGATTGTATTGTTCGACGTATTTAAATCTTTTTAGATGCAACGCTAGTATCATAGGTAGTTTTTTCACTCTCATTCGTTTCTGTAATTAAAAACGACCACATTTCATTAATTTATATAATTTCAGTAATCGATTTAAGCGATTTATCCAAAAGATAAAATCAAATATCGTTTTATAATACCTGAGCTTCCTGGTAACTGCTGCAGTGATCGCATTTAAATTTGTTGTCACTACACAGGGTCTCTGTATTGGAGAAACATCTGAGGCAGTGTGTGATCGACGTATTTTGATCTACGTCAACTTGCAGATCGAAGAAGTCCTCGTCTTTGCTAGAGACAGTCTCACAGTTAAGGCAGCGTGTTTCCGACGTCAGTATCCCTTGGAATATCTCGTGTACCCATGTGGGCTCTGGTGGCGAACCTGCAGCATCTCCTGCCCCACACTTTCCTCCAGTCGGCTTACTCTGAGTTCTCTCCGCTGATGTGTGAAATCACGACGATAAATATCGTGCTATGAGCGGCATCGAAGAGCGATAAACAAATACTCACCCAAAATAATTTCATTTATGTGATTTATAAGGAAATTCAAAAACTCATGCGCATCTTGTTGCATATAATTATCAAATTCCTCTGAAAAAAAAGAAGATATTAAAGTTATGACAATGATATGGCCCATTTGATGTTACAAACACTTCAAAGTGTTCTTTGATTGGTTAATTAGTAAAATTCTTTCTTCCAAATGATCAATCAAATGCTTTTTAAATGAGCTGCATCCAATGGTAACTGTACTACAAAATCTGAATTTTTTTTGTATCTAGTCTTTTAAAATACCCACCTTTCTCTTTCCTTAATCTGGCGATAAATTTCTTTGGCGCTATAGAGCCTACTTTTTTCTT